TGATTATTATTTTTCGAGATTTAAACACTTACTAATCTTAATTATGTTTGGTCATATATTGTGTGTCCTGTCTTTCTTATTATGATTTTCGATTCTGCTTCGAAAATCTATACAAACTTTACTAACCGAAGTATGTCAAGCCTATGTTCCGAATTATATAAGCCATTGTTATTTTAGGCTGTTCGCAGCTGATGAAAGGTAGTGGAACAGAATAAATTTATTTTATTCTGCAAACCTTATTGTTTTTACTTTGTTTAAATTTATTATGGGATTTAGATGTACAAAATATAAGATCCATACGTATAATGATCTAACATTTAAATATATGCATAAAGCGGAATAAAATAGGGCAGTAAAAATATAATTGAGAAATAGATTAACGTCATAACTGGTATTCGCGGTGTGATTTAAACTCTTCAGGTCTGAGGAACTTGATCAGTGGTTAAAATTCATGGCACTTTATTTAGTTGAGACATACAAGCAATATCGTCGACTTTCAAACAATGGACAGTGTTCATCCCTACTTCATGAACAACCTGATACTACAAAGTCGATTTAATCACTAGCTAAGATGACTTAGAAGGGGTAGATTATGCTTTTACTATTGAAGCACTATAAAACAGAGGAATTATTCAGTGAGGTGGTTCATTTCAACAATGCTAAAAACAACAAGAAAACACGTTAAATGGATAACCATTTTGGTTTATTTTGCTGAAACAATACTGAAAAAAGAATTATTGGTGCATCCTGAAGTGAAACTTTGTTGTAAAGCTCGGCTTTATTCTCAACACAAAACTCAGTACTACTAAAAATAGAGCACTGTTTAACCAGAATTAAATCTACTGATGATCGATGGTTTAAATTTTTTTCCTCGTGCAGTATATTTATATAAAAAACACAGGTCAGCCTTGAAGATTACTAATCCTACGTGAATACAACCATATCGTCATATAGTGACCATACAAAGGTTAAAAGTCCTCGTGGATGACTGGCCAAACTCCAGGGTTTCTACCAAGTGTTCGCGCACGAATGATGGACACTTTTATAAAGAAATTATCAGTTACAGAGCTTTATACTGAAGATGTTTGATGAAAAACAAATTTTCAAAGGGTAGCAGTCTTAACGTACCTTTCTTTTGTACACACCACCTTGCTTTCGGGTGTTTATTCTATACATAAGCAGTGAAAATATTATTCATAGTAATTGGGGTGTTTCGCTTTGAGGTAACAATTGCTGCGAAAAGTGATTAACAGCGATGGATCAATTCTACTTAAGTGTTAGTAGCACTAAACGATTAACATTTCGCTAGACTACAAACCATATTCTTTTCATACATCCGTTTCACATCTATATACTGTCTCATTTGAAATAACGGTTTAAAATAATGGTTATCTTCAAATTAATCAAGTAGTTATAAATATGGATCCAAATAATTACTAATATTTTTAGTTCAAGCAAAAAACTAACTACTCAAGAGAGGATTGAAATAGACTGTGGTAGATCTTTAGGAAGATTTTAATTATACAACGTGAGTTTAGGTTGTAAAAATTTGCGTAGAATTTTTATAAAAGTAGCAATAGATAGTCTATTCAAAAATATTAGGGGAACCTACTATGGAGTTTTCAGTGACTTTTACATATGATACCTCGGGTGTGGGAGATAGTCGTAAAAAATGAGTTTAAAACTAGTTCATAATTCCTATGACCTGGAATGACCTTTGTTTCAATTGACCTAAGTTACCCAAATATATTTCGGAGTTGGATTGTACGACAACGAATATGCTTTAAGGTCAGCAAAAGAACAAAACTAAAACCAATGAAAATTAAATTTACGGGCTAATATCAAAATACGTTAATACACAGTAACCAAGTTCAATTTCGTTTATCAGACTCCGAATCACTTTCTTGCATGAAGGCTGGTGATACTACTGCTGAGTTGTCGAAACCGAAGTGAGTGAACAGTAACTGACATGTGAAACCATAATAAATGATTACAGAATGTGCTTCCATATCATTAACATTGGTGAAACTGTAGTAGGATAAAACTCTCGTTAGTTTATTGGCTATTAAAGTTCAAATTTCATATGAAACCATCTATTTAAATGGTACATACATTATCACTGGCGTGCTAGAGCAAGATGAATTAAATGTCGTGTCCACTAAACGTAAATAAAAACGATAAAGAAATAGGATGGTTTCGTCTTCCTTAAAAATCTTTCCTACAAACTAAATACTATTTAGAAGAGCAAAGTAATTACAACGAAACCTCATAGCCTGAATGTGAGGGCATAACCGATACTTGGGAAACCTGATTTCAAACAATTATGAAGGCCCAATGACAAGATACAGACTATTTGAGAAATGGTTTTACTCAATAAACTTCGGAAAACCTGATTACATCTTTACGTGTCAAGAAAGCCTAGATTTTTGTGTGTTCAGAAACAAATTGTCTTCCCGTTGAATTTGCGTTGGTAATGCTTAAACTATCCTAATCATAGGAGTGGCGTCACAAAGTTTTATTCTTTCGATATATTACCGTGTTTCTCTCTTGTATTTCCAACTAACACTTTATTGATTATCTAAGGTTTATTTATTTTTTACATAAAATGAGTTAACAAGTATGTGGTCAGATTATTAGAATTATATGGAGTAAATACATCAAATTTGTCAGACTAACTTCGTCTTCTCACTCAGAAATGATGTAAGTCACTTCCCGAGTACAATATAATACACAGGTTTTTTAATCACCGTTAAGCGTGAGTGCTAGATATACTAAAGGACTCCTTAAAAAAGAATTAGATGGAAAGAGGTTTAAACCTGAAAACTCACCGGTTGAAAACCGAGTATCTTAACCACTAAACCACCGTTTTCACTTTACAATTTCGAAATTTACAGAAGCTAAACGTTTTAAATTTCCGTTATTCCAAAACTTGAAAGTTTCTATTTGAATAGTATGATTATTAAGTATAAGAGGAAGCTTAAACATGAGGTAAAATTATTCACTAGTGCGGTATGACACAAACTAGAGAGTATAACTATGTCTTACTGTATTAAAATATCATTCAGATAATAACATAATCTATTCCAATGCTACACGTGACTCTTTATGTGAATGATTAGTTCTATTTAAGTCATTCTCATCTTCGGAAATCTGAATCAGAAACCTTTTGATTCGAATGATCGAATGATCTTCATTTAGAAGAATTATGACGTCTCATTGTGAAAGTCTAAATTCTTCAGAAATCACGAGGCCGGTGCCCCTTCTAACAACCAGAGCAACAATTAGTATAGGTACATGGAACGTTCTGACGATTCGGGAGACCGAGAGGATTGACCAAACAGCTCCGAAAGTGAGGAGATACAACTTGGTGGTTCTCCGAATAAGTGAAACCCATTGGACCCAAGCTAGACAAAAAACGATAAATTCGGGAAAGATGTTGCTGTACTCTGGTCACGAAGAAGAAGGTACTGTACACACTCAGGAAGTTGTTCTGATGCTGTCCAAAGAAACCCGAAAAGCACTTATAGGATGAATATCTCGTGGACCCAGGATCATCAAATTATCTTTTAAAACAAAGAAGGAGGGAATCACAATGAATGTTATCCACAGTTATGTACCCACAAATGATAGCAACGACGACGATAAAGATCAGTTCTATGAGAGACTGCAATAGATCATAGCGAAGTGCTTAGGAAAGAACCTGACCATCCTGATGGGAGATTCAAACGCCAAAGTCGGAATGGACAACACTATGTATGAAGATATCGTGGGACAACATGGACTGACTGGCTGGGAGAAATGAACGAGAATGGTGAGATTTGCAAATTCATGTGGATACAACGAAATGGTTATAGGTGAAACTATATTCCCCACAAACCCATGAACAAAGCTACATTGGATTCACCGGATCACACTACAGAGGGCCAGATCGATCATATTTGCATCACTAGGAAATCCGGAAGGTCAATGGAAGACGTAAGAGGAGTTAATATAGCTTCAGATCACCACACAGTGGTTTATAAGATGAAACTGAAGCTAAAGAAGCACAGAAAAACTAGAGAAACAGCATTACAAATGTCTAGTAAAACCTTCCTTAGAGATACTGACAAACTCAACGGGTCGCAAACATTACAAGATCTACTCAAGGAAGAAGAAACTACATTGGAGAACTGGAAAGTTATCAGAGAAGCACTAACTTCGACGTGTCATGTGTCGGACACAAGACACGTCATCATAAAGAATAGATCTCTATTGATAACCTGGACAGGATTCAAGGAAGAAAGGACAAGAAGACAGCAATTAACAACAGTCGAACAAGAGCAGGGAGAGGCAAGGCACAGACTGAATACATATAGGCAAACACGAGAGTGAAGAGGAGCATTAGAGCCAAAAATACACTGAAGGTGAATGGGACATATATTGCAGGAATCATCAAACTGTATCAAAAAGCGAGCCGTAATTTGGAATCGTGAGGAGAAAAAGGAAAGAGTAAGATCAAAGAATCGGAGGTAGACATCGAAAAGAATGGATAGGAATTGGAAAAGATTGCCCAGGACAAAATAGGATTGAGAGTGCTGGTGGGAGGCCTATGCTCCTCCATGAAGGGTGAAAGGCGTAAAAGTATATGATTAAACGGATAACGAGAACAGTTCATGAGTATCTACATACTTTCGTTGTTGTATCTTGTCTAAAAAACATAAATTAGGACAAAAATGGCGCACATCATTGTAGTGTGCAAGTGAAAGAATTACAAATAGGCTCAACACCAATCATTCTGAAGAAAAGAGCCTTGCAATCGAACAATCTAAGGGGTGACATAATTAGTGTTATATCTAAAAGCTTTCAGTTCAAAAGTGAAAAGCGTCGGGTGTGTGCAATGATGAGATATTAATTGAGATAAGATAACAGTCTACAAAATAGAAATCACTAAAATGTCTTCGAAAACCGGGTTCAGTTTTGTATGTATTTATATAGGAACAAAAGATGTACATTTTACTTACACTATCTGATTGTTGAGATGATTCAAGAGATAAAAATTTCTCATTCAGGTTTTGATCTTGATTTATAGGTGGCATAAATAATTCATCGGATTTTCCAATTACAGGGATTTTTATTGAACTATTCGGAAAGTTACATTCTTTGGTTTCTAAAGTACCAGAGGAATTAAATGTATCCGTAGTTAATGATAAGTCACTGCAGTGACTTGAATTCACATAACTAGAAAATTTGACAGGGTTTATCAGATGTAATGGTCTGCTAGCTCCAGAAACGAATGAAGAATTGTAAGAAGGTTGATTAGATCCATGTTGTGGGTGAGATGGTGTAGTCAAGGGAGATGGTAAATAGGGAGGATAAGCATTTGTGTTACTACTGCCAACTGAAGAAGGTCCAGTTAACAGATTTTGAGGTGAGGAACTGCTATCCTGAGGAGAATGGTGTTTGCGGCGTCGAGGTTTAGCTCGTTGTTCAAGTTTTTCAGGTGCTAAAAAGCAGAATCCAACAGTTGAAAAACAACTATATGATGTACTATCAAAAGCCAAGATGAAAACAAGAACTCATTTACTTAGTACTCCATAACTTTCAATCAATTTATTTAGCTTTACATGTAGCTAAAATGTCGAACTTGATACAATGGAGGGTAATAAATGCACTACACAATGAAGCGAGTGTTGGGAAGAAAAGGAACTAATAGAATATTAACGGCCACAGTTTCAGTAAGAAAGTGAACATCTTATTAGTTTCTATCTTAAATTACATCTCATTACTAAAATGGGTCAAAAAAGGAGCTGCTACTGATCTTGGCTTTTAGCCGTTGGGTTGTATGCAACTGACATTGTAACTTGCTAACTATTGGCAGTTTTGGAGATTATAACTTGAAGACAGATAGAGTAGCAGGCTCTGATAGATTAACTAGAAGTCTCGAAAAAAATAATGTCTGTTTGACTGACTGAATTATAGTGGAGATTTTAGGAGCTGAACCCATTCCCATCAGCCTGGCAGATATCACTGATCATTAGTTTTTGGAAAAGAACAAAACCCCTTGTGCGAAACTAAAAGGAATCAGTCTGACCAAATGTGCAAATAACTTAAGGCCATATTTGACTCAGTTGAATAATGAGCCTTGAGTCAATGTATATAATTGAGTAATGTACCAAAATGCAATAATTTACTGAAGGTCCTTTTCTTAAACATTATTGGTCGACCCACAACATATAACAAACTATTTTCTGGATTAGTTACGTCATTCGGTTTCAACACTAAGTAAAGGATGTTGGCACTGAACGAGAAAAAATATTCGGGGAGTGTTTCGTATTAGTGGACTGTCGAACAGATTTCATACCTGAGGGAAGTAAATCCTTATACAGAGATCTTTTATATGTATCCTCTTTCTAACGAACAACATATTAAAAACAGACTTGACGTATGACGGGTTTTTCATAGTCTGAGAAATACTAAGTTGGAGTGCAAAATAAGTCTTTCAAGCTTATCACGACAACTTAAGTTTAGTGGAATAAGGCACAAAGCTTCTGATACCTCTTCAAACAACCTAATTCGTATTTTGACCCTAGTTTTCGTAAGAGTAGGTTTGCCGGACCAGAATGTTTTGCACAGTTTTAGTCTTCTCAAGAACTCTACCTTGTTGACTAACAATAGAGCTTGACTTTTAGACTTAGACAGTTGTCCAACATTTGGGTGAACTGCTTTCCAATGTTTAAATAATTATTGACAGAGCCATAGGTGGTTGTTAATTTACATTTTCCCAAATTTAAAGATTGTTTGACTAATACAAAACTACTTACTGGTGATGGTTCAGATGACTTGAAATATCAGTGGCCAAATTAAACTGGTGCTTTCCCTTGTGACATTCTGACCAAGTTTTCCAGTCTTTAACGAAACTTACATCTATGATTACTTTTTCTAACTTGGTCTATCATTTAATTAAAAATTAAAGTTCAGCGAAAAATTTTTCTTCGATGGTTTTATTTTTTTATGCTATATAATTACAGTTATGTTCAATTTCCCACGTAGTAGTCTATAATAAAATATTAGTGTTAAATCATTATTTGATTATAGTGTTAGGTGAATCCAAATCACTTCGATGGTGAGTTTTAGTCAGTCTGCATGTATTTAAACTAAATTTCAATGAATTTGATATCATAAGGACCTATTTTAAAGTAAAGGGAAAATTCGGGATTGGAATATCTCTCATCACTATTTGCGCATAAGATGAAAAAATGGAGAAAGGCAGGTCATGAACATACCGAACCACATTTCCTTTATAAGAATGATAATATATACTGTTTTAACTCCAAAAACCTTGGCAGAAACACCACTTACGTAGTATCAACTCTCTTTTCATCCCCACGGCCAAACATTTTTCAAGCCTGCACGAAGGACAGTGTTTACGTTGATTGCCTTCAATAGCACAACCCCCACCTCGATTGCAAGCTTTTATCTAAAAGAATAGAAATTTAGGTTTATCAAGCATCTGTTAACAGATAAAAAGATTACTTAAAAGAAATGTAGTGTATATTAACATGAAGGATGACATTGAAAGAGATGAGTAGAAGAAATTTTACAACTAATTATGAAATTATGTAGGTATGATTACCTTGATTCATCTGAGTCTTTGTGATTTCATAGTAATTAAATTGTAAATAACACTTTTCAACCGCTCAATAATTCGCTTAGATATATTATTTTGTACTACTTAAAGAGGTCCATGGTCACAATACAGTAGAATTCAAGAATAACTTATAAATCTATCCATCTGAATGCAAACTGTAGCTTCAGGACCGAATTGCATAAACGTCTAGACTAATCACAGGAAGTCTAGTAGTTCAGTGCGCCGGCCACTTCACTTGTCTTTGAGGTCACACCCCTCTCGGTGGATTGTTAACTGACAAAACTCAACAGGGATTAAGAAAGCTCGCCTGACACACCAGCTTCAGTTACTTGTGTTGTAGAAGAGATGTGTATCTCACAACAACAGAAAGAGTAAACTGATGCACAGTGTGCTTTGTATTACTACATGATTGTGAAACATGGTCTATGAAAGAATGAGATGAGTGTATTTTCAAAGCATTGATTACTAATGATGAAACGATCGAGTAAACAACACTACAACCAGAAGTAGGATATTAAGCGATGTAAAAATGCTGAAGAAGTTGTGAATTTTCATAGGTGGAGGTAGTTGAGGCATGTGCTACGTATGTCTAACTACACCCGACGCCAACTGGAATAAGATTAGGCCGGTAGAAAGCTAGGGGCACCCTAAACAAAATGTACCATCTGTATATGAAATTACTAATTGTTGGTCTGAGCCTTTTTAGTAGGGGTTATCTCAATTACTCCGATCAGTATCCAGAGAGTTCTAGATGGATGGTGTTATAGCTTGGTTAGTGCATATTTGTGCCACGCTCAACGATGATTATGACCAACTGACTATATTTTTTTAAATATAGACGTGTGTTGATTCGGCTTTTAATTTTATGTTTGTCTTATTTTCAAAGAAGGAACATACTCCTGTCACAAGAATGAGCCAAACAACAATCAGATAACCATATAATACATTTCACATACTTGTACGAAGCATTAGTAGTTGTGGTCCACTGATTTCACAAACAATGCAGTATGACTTCATTTTAATGCCATAGATTTCAGTCTGGGAAAAAACACTATCGCCGATATGCACTCAATTAGTATGACCCAAAACATCGTAAGGACTCCCATTTAGTAGGTGGTTATATGAATAAAGCTTCAGGAAACTACGATTGAAACACTGAAAACCCCGTCGGGCGCCACAGCTTGGCTTATTGGTCTAGAGGTTAAGCGTTCGCACACGAGACCGAAGGTCCTGGATCCAAATTTCGTGAGCGGAATCCTTAACTTGTATTCGCTTCGGTGGTACATGTACCAAAATTGGAACGATACATATGATATTAGCATGGCCCCTGCGCAAGTATGACACACAAAACCGCAAAGTGTTCTATATTTTGGACCTCAAATGCTCTGGTACGGCCGAGTGTGGAGAGAGTTCGCTCGCCCTCTCTGAATACTCTCACATGGCCACGCGTATACAATAAGTCTGGGAAGTCCTATCCATTGCCCTCTTGTGGCCGAGGTGTTGTTTACGAAATTGAGAGGATGAAAAGTGAATTTCCGGCATTTTACCCGGGTAGGTGAGTACGGAGAATCCATCTAGGGGAGTTACAAAACTGATTCGAAACCAATGGTGCACATAAGCTCCATTATCCCGAGGGAACAAATGGCGTATGAACCAATAATCGATCACCGGTTACCATGGAACCGCATCTCCTCACGATGCACCACTGCCTTGTGGGTCAGACCTTTAGGTCAAAGGCTCGGGGTGTGGCCCCCTAAGAAAACCACCTGTTTCGATCTGGGAACCCTTGCAGTACCACAGCCCACACATAAGCCAAGTGACTTCTGTGGCGTATATGTATTCGGTGCCCTTTTGCACTAATATTTGTGTTCAAATAAATGATGTAAACCTGAAATCTTCGGCTAATTTTAAAAACATCTTAATAAATTTTTTTTGCCCATAACTGCAATACAGAACATTTGCACACTAGAACTCGCATTCCACTAGTTGTGTGAGGACTGAAGATATTATTTAGCCGTTGTGACGAAATTAGTTGAATATATTTTGACCTGGCCACGTACTTGTACTACTTGAATGCAGTCTCGTTATGAAAAACTATAAGTTGTTCAAGCAAATCTAATTTTTGGTTTGTAACAGACACACATATAAGTAAAAGACTTAGGTTAGACATGAGAACCCAGACCTAACTTCAACTCTACCTGATCGGTAATTACAAAAGCCTAGCGGCGTTACAGAAGCACACTAAACAAAATCATTTAAATATAATGAAACTTGGGTGTCTTTTGACCGTGCAGAAACGCAAATTGACTAAAAGCAAATAATACGTTTATGTTTACATTAAGATGTTAATCACTATCTCAAGAGGGCTAACTCGGTTCCCGTGGTAAGTGATGTTCAATCATCACAACTTTCTTAACTCCGATTGTTAATTTAGGCATCTATACAGATTAGTTCTGAAGATTCATTTTTTTATTCATGTAGTAGAAAACCCAGCCCAAACATCCGTAAATGATCACTCAGCGTTCAGAAAGTTATGTATCTTATTAGTGTCTCTGACCAATAAGGTTACCCCATCTATTTACCCTAAAAATGTAGGAGGTTCTGGAACACTAGACAGTAGACAAAATAGTGAAGTGAGACCCTCTCAGTTCTGGATAGTCAGGGTAAATTGTCTCTGCCTGCCAACGTCAACGGACGTAAAAGATTACAGGAATATTGTTCCATATAACAAGCTATTTTGTAACCCATTTTACAAGTCCACATAGCGAGTAGTCCAGTAGTAGGTGACTGAACATGAAGGACTGTAAACGAAAACATACGTGGGACACTAAGACTGAATACATCGCAACAAACCATAAGATATGTTTCGAATGTTCCTGGAAAACCCCACTGCCAACAATTTTGTTGTAATTACTCAAACCATTGGCAGTCACATAAAAACTCTACATAGATGAGTGGATATTTTCATTTGACAACCGCGTTTGCTAGTACTTCGTCTTAAACTCAGTAGTATTTGGAATTAAAGGTACTGATACTGCAAGATTATTTAACGGGATTGAGGTGAGTTAGGCATATACATAAGTATGAAACTTACTTTATCCCTAGGCTTGAGCGCATTTCTGCGGAAAAACGCCTTGCAACTTTCGCAAGTCAAACGATCAAAATTGTAGCCAGATGCTGGTTCACCACATACAATACAAACCCGTTCTTCTTCACTTATTCCAGCTTTTCGTCTTCTGGTTCGGACGACACCAGACAAAGAGTGTTTCCTAGAACCACTCTGAGAAAACTCGAAGTTGCTGCAATAATGACTATTGTTAGTGCTATCATTATGGACACTCTGGATGTATTGATGATTTTGGACGTAATCCGTTTGAGTACGATTTAGGCATAGAAAACTCTCTTTGTCGTGACCAGTGTTACTTCCGTAACCAACAGATGAAGGTCCATTAATATTCATTGAATTATCCAATGGAGTTCCCGAAGAAATACGGAAAGAATTATTCCGTAAATTTGCATTCACGTTCCCACTTGGATAGTCATTTGCTCCAGGATCCATTGCAAAAAGCGTGTTTTTACATCAGCTGATTGAAATACTATCTAAAAAAGAATTCGGAACAGATTTGGTTTGATTCGATTATAAAGTGATGAAGCCTATGAAGATGTCATGTTAGGCAAAGGAGTGAGTTGACCGGACAAACACCGCAAATCCTTGAAGGGCGCGCCTAGTACTTAATAATTTTGTGACAAGCTAGTACAAACTGATCGAGTTGTTTGGTTCAGTTTTCAGATGTTATTGTAAGGTTGTAGGCTTTTGTTTTCACCTAATATGAGAATTCTAGCTCATCGGGTGCATGATTTCTTCTGAATTCGGCTAACAGTTCAAATGATTCAAATTGTTGTGGATGGAATAGAAGAAGCTTTCGCTTGACGGGCTTCCGTGTCTAATAGCAGTGGATCACCAATACCTCCAGGCAGGAACCTAAGTATATTAACGATAATAGGAAAAAAGGTAAATCATAATAAAATGTTATCCTTAGTCCTTAAGAATAGGTCAAGTTTCCTCTTAAAGGACTCCTGAGAAGTCGCTTGGACTAGCTCAGTCGTTGGCGAATTCCAGCATTTGACAATTCTTACTGGCAAAGGTCAAAGTATTGAAGGCGCTCTTCATAAGATTTGAATTTTAGTCCACGAACCGATTTCGTGGCTCGACGTTGGATACGCTCCAGAGTGTCCTTATCCTTTTGGAGAGAGGAAGGAAATACCATGTTTCCGTACTCTAAATGGGGACGAAGATTATGTGGAAAGTTCCACCGTCAAACTGGCCAAAAATGCGCTTCAGTGTTACCAGTGAAAGGTTTGCTCGAAAGGCGTTTTCGTTGCAGTTAGCGTACGACTTCAAGTCGTGAGTGAACATCCCAATCCACCTGTTGTAAATAGTCCTGTAAGGCTGACACATTCAATTGTTTGAAATTCCAGCGCCTGTTGTTGGTGGGATATCTTAGCTCAGTTTTGCTGAGAAAACTGAAGGATACAATGGCGTGATCGCTTTTCCTCAGGGAAACCAGAATTGAGAGGTTATGGACTAGGTATTCTTCATTTGTAAATACCCAGTCAATCGCGACGGAGTCTAACTGTTTCTCCAACGAGTTGCCGACATTCTCGAATAATCCCAGATCCTCAAAGAGGTTAAAGAACTGAGCTTCTGTAGAGTTTTCACCTCCAATATAGGCATGTTTCACGAAGTTGACTCTAGGAAGATTGAAGTCTCCTAAAATCAGGATATGAGAGAATCGGAGGCGCGTAGAGCGAGTTAATCCTTCCAGCATACGATTGTCGTACTCGATGTCAGCAGTGGGCTTCCTGTAGATGACCTGAACTAAACACCTCGTTTCGGCAGACAATCTTACTGAGCACCATTGCTTTTATAGACTCTCCAACTTATTTTTTCTCCCATAAATCGGTCCTTCATGTGCAACTGGGTAAAGGATCATTCAGTTTCAGTTCGGAAAGGACAGGAGGCTTGATGGTCTGTGTTAGTCTTGTCAATGATGGTCTTTCAGTTGATTGAACTTTCTTTTGAAATGGTTGAGTTGTCGAGGCAATGAATTTCACCCGTTGATAATTCGATGGGAAAGTCGATAGTCAGCTGACAAGTAATTTGTCCTGAGCTAGTGAACTTTTTTAGAATGTCCTCGTAAACTCTCTGTTTTGGAAGACAAAATATGAGATCATATCAAGTGCAGATTTGAAAACTGTAATTAGGTCACCTCTAATTCTTTGATATGACAACAAGAATAGGTTTAGTTCAGCCAGTCGGGCAGCATACGGGAGCTTCTCTATTCCGGGAATCAGCTTAATGGCTGTTCTCTGGACCTTTTCCAAAATTTCACTGTCTTTTTTATGCCGCTTGTATTCAGCACTCAAGTTTAGGACGCACGAACACTGTATACTTAGTCAAAAAGTTTAAGCGTTGGCATGACTAAAGGCCCTACGTATTGACCATGGGGTTCTATAACCTTTGTCAGCTATTGCACAGCAGTGTGCAGTAGTTTTTAAGTCTTGACTCCTAAGTCATCGTGTGTCTGAATAACGGGCATCTCAATGTTATTGATCATATATGTATCTGTACCTTGATTATCAATATGCATCACAATACACTTGGAAGTATTGGTCAGCAACTGCCAAGTTTGAGACTATTCAGATAATCTCTCCAGGTCACTTTGAAGTGCAAAGCTATCACCTTTACTTCTTATCGCTCTCCATATCCTGACATCATCAGCATATGGCAAGACGGATGATGATAGGAGACGAGGAAGGTCATACAAGAGGAATAACATTGGCCCCAAAACTGTACTCAGTTAACGTTCAGGTTATCGATATGGACATTAAACACTGTTACTCGTATCATTTCCTGGTGTAAGCATGAAACTACCGTATACACTTGATAAGCTACGTTATATCAATTTATCTTGCGGTAACCATGCCTAGACCTTTGAGTGATTTCTTCATGAATCATTCTATAGAGATTTTGCCTGATTGTTGGATCTCCGGCCATTTTACACGATGTTCGATATACTTGGAATTATGATCAGAATGGGGGTTTGTGAAGATTTTAGTAATTTTAATAGGTGAATTCATGGGTCGATACGACCATCCAGTGCTTCCAGGTTTTTAATGGTGGTCTAGCTTACATCGACTAATGAATTCAACTATACTTGAAACTGTCAAAACGTAAGAATGAGAAACTTGATGAATTATTTCCGCTGCCGGGTCTCTTAAGCTTTATACAATCTAAAGGTTCAAATGGTTCAAATGGTTGAGGACGGAATAGAAGAAGCTTTCGCTTAACGGGCTTCCGTGTCTAGTAGCAGTGGATCACCAATACCTCCAGGCAAAAACCTTGAAGGACTAAAACGCCGCCTGGTACTCAATATGTATTTTTGCCAGTACGCTGAGTTCTTACTTCAGAAGCATTTACAGGTCCTGACTGTTGTGTTATTGTTTAAGATTGCTTCTGCTTCCAAGTAAACGCTAATAGTACGTGCTACACATCCACTATACAACTTGGACGCGAAGCATCCAGCACCACATCCAGTGCCACATGTATTTGGAGTTTGACAGCTCCTTGACCAGTGACCGCTTTATAATCGAAGTATGCCAACCCAGTCAGATCAGAAGTCAAGAATGAAAGAGTTCAAAGATATATTTGGAGGGCTATCGTTGTCTTGAAAGAACGTTTGATCTCAGCTGGAAGTACGTACCCACTTGTGATAGGGTGCGGATGAGTGACAGAGAGTCTTCGGTTAGGTGAGTCCAGCAAAACCAATGCAGTCAGCACCAAATATCAAAAGCACACAGAACTATTGATTTTGAGGATTTATTTACCGTTAAAAGTTCATTAAAAGAGCCCCAAAATTTTACCTTCAAAACCACTACGACACTTTATTTCCAAAGTATATTATTCAAATTCTTTTCTCATTTTGAGGAAGCAAACATTTTCGGACGTCCATAATTATTATTATCTGTGTACTCTTATTGTGACATTACATAGTTGTTGGGCTATATGTGGTGTCGGTTGCTATGCCAAGCCCAAATAGCTTATTCTAGCTTCAAGAAAGGTCAATTTATTTATTCTTCTTGGGTCACATTTTGACCTTGTTGATTTTTCGCCTATTAATCTTGACAGTTTTATGTGGGCGTATGTGCGTTCATTTCTTATCTGACTCGTCACGTCTGTAACTCATTTTTATCTGACTATAAATATCGACTACCGATTCAATAAATTGTGTTAGCCCCCACGCCTTCTCCACTGTTCGTCATTTCGCTTCTCTCTCTTCTCTTCACTTCCTTCGCTTCGATTCTTTGATTGTTTGTACAGACCTAAGAGTGAACAAAATATACGTATTCAAAAATCCATCCTCGTATTTGACTTGCTTAATTCCGTTATTCACCAACGCCAGTTAAGTCGATAATAATATACGAGGATATAAGGCATGTGTATTTTCATAGCAGTCATTCGATAACAACAATCACACGATCAGAATGGGGTCAGAGATTGGGCTGCGAAGAACTGCTCAGTAAACACATAACATGCTTTTCTCTATTTGCATTATATGCAGAAGCAATTCAGATTGCTTTATCCAGTTTTTTCATATACTTTTGTTTGTCCATGTGTGCTATATTATTTTCTCGAATCTTCATTGAAACTTCACCATAACCTTCGTAAACGTTTAGAGCTCTGTTCAAATTAGCCAGGACAAAATCTGAAGATTCGTAGTCTAACGTATTTACGTGATACAATACACACATAACAGCTGTACTTAGCAGTTTTCTGTATTCCTCTGGTTGGAATTTTCATCGAAATACTTTTCTCAGGTTTGAACTCTTAATGATCACGGTATAGTACTTAGTACAAGCATCTCAAACTCACATTATTGCGAGCCCATTTCGGGATTCGATACCTGATTGATCGTGTGACTGTCAAATGCATATATTGTGTTCTATTGGCATACCTGTGTTCAGTCTTCTAACTGGTTCCGATGCCCTATACGTGAATACTTCGAACTTTTTTGTTTGTCTATCTATACGCCACTCATATTCCGTTATTATATTTCCATAAATACTTAAGGCGCGCAGATGAATGGATACTGGACAATATGTAATAATTTTAATGAAGTGCAGTTTGGAACAATCTGATGTAGTCCAAGATTTGTTTCACCATGACAAAGTTCTTGGATATTTTGTTTCCGGAATTGTTTCTGTTCTTATACAGTTGCTGTTGATTCTAAGTGTCAGTGCTTATATGAATCCTATTTGAAAAGAAAAGGATGTAATTCTGGTGTTAATCTAATACTGTCGTTATTTCGGCAAAGCCATACGAGCCCAGTTCTATTGTGATGAGCGAAGACTTGGCGGAGAAAATCAGTATACTGCTCTACGCATAATCAAACAGTAGCTCTGCAAAATACGGAGAACAAACATTAAACACATCTTCCTTCAGTTGTCCTTTACATACTTCATCATTCATCCGGCCCTGTTGTTACTCCGACTGCTCTTCGGTTTACTTCCTCTTCTCTTTCTTGTACTCTTTTGCTAACATTCTACCTCCAATTCCTGTTATATAATACTAATGTCTGTTCACATGAGAATGGCACACCACATTATCATAATTGAACGTTTACTACTGCATTAAGTACTGGAATATGCATTCAAAGACATCTGTGGTCCAGTCTTA